TATAAACATAACAGACTATAACATGTATTTTTCAAAATTAGACTAACCTTTTTTTTTTTTACATACCGATATATGAACTTCATCCAGGAGAATAAATTACACTTTGACTTGGCAAAAAGCGATCCAGACCTCACTGACTTGAATCTTCCCTTATGTCTCTTTCGTGTACAAGACCTTTAAACGTAATAAAATATTCTAGTGAGTAAGACCATGTGTCATATTTGTTTAAATTTTCCTAATACCACAGCAGACATGTAAAATTAATAATAATATATTCAAAAATAATAACATTATGAATTTTAAAAAAGATAATTTAAGCAAGCAAGCTCTGGTCAAAAATTTAGTTTAAATAATAATAATAATAATAATAATAATAATACTTACCAAACATAGTTGTCTGCTTTGTTGGGTTTATGAGTAAGCTTCATTGTATGTTGGCATAAATTGCACTTTATTTTTGCTTTAAGCAATTTTTTTTTCTGGAGCCATTTAATCAACTTCAATTTCTTCCTCTTTGTTTGACGTCCTTCAATCATTGACAGCAATTTTTTATTTAATGACCGACCCATGTCACCTTAGAAATACATAAAAATAATTAAAGTATTTAAAATAATAGTAATATTAACAAATACATTTATATTTAGTATGCATGCAACAAATGACATACTCAACATGGATAACAAATATATTAATGACTGAAAACTGTCAATGCCAATTTTAATAAATATTATCATTAGTAGATTAAGATATTTTATGAAGTTTTGTAATACATGTAGCATAAATATATCAGAATAACAGTAACAGTGTTGTACCATATATGCATTTCATGTTCTGACGAAAGAAACAGGCATAATTAAATAAATAAATCTTACATGATGTGTCACTGGATTGTTCGTAATTTTCCCCTTTGCATCTGTAATCGGCGCAGGCTGCGCCGGCGCGGGCTTTTTATCAGGAAGTGGCGTTCCAGAAATAAAAATCCCGAGAGATTTTTAGCTATAAAATTTTAAATCCCACAAGACAAACTTATCATTAACTTTAAAATTGTTAAGCGATTATTGTATAGAAGCCACCAGTCTTTGTGATTTCAGCTTCATTTAAAAAATAAAAAGAATAAGAAAAGAAAAACTACACTACCCAGAATCCTTCAGCACATTGCAAAAAAAAAAGCGGCCAGAGGTTATCCAGCGCAATACTGGTAGACTGTGGAGGCCAGGCCACAGCAAGTTTGATGATGGCGAGGTGACAGACGGATGACATTTTAGACTCTTGCCATCAGACCACCACCAGTCTTTGTGATTTCAGCTCCATTTAAAAAAGAAAACGAATAAGAAAAGAAAAACTACACTACCCACAATCCTTCAGCACATTGCAAAAAAAGAGCGGCCAGAGGTTATCCAGCGCATACTGGTAGACTGTGGAGGCCACAACAAGTTTGATGATGGCGAGTGGACAGACGGATGACATTTTAGACTCTTGCCATCAGACCAGAGGGAGACCGAAGACAAAACAGTCTCGGGATGAACTCACAGAAAAATCCGGTAAATTATGCACGTTTATCAGTTTACGTTCATCAGATATGGTTTGAACGTTTAGCACGAAATTTTTGAGAAATTGTTGATCCTGGTTTGAATGTTAGCAATAACTGAGAAAACGAAACAACTTTTAACTTAAATTTTTAACTAAGAAAAACTCTCTCTCTCTCTCTCGTCGGTGTAACGTAATGTGTTCAGGATGATTTTCTGCTCTAAATAAAGCAAGTGAAACAGACTCTTTACATTAATACTAAGATCCTTTTATTTTCTAGATAAACCACATGGAGCAGCGCCAACTGTTTCAATGGCTTTGGCTAAAGCCAAGGCAGAGACTGACACCTTGAGGGTGAAATGTCAATATCTGCAGGAGAAAATAGAAGATTTGACAAAAGAACAAGATTTCCTTAGACAACAGCTGTCAGAG